AGGGAACACGAAACCAGAAGGGACACGAAACACGCTGCTTGGCTCGAGCCCTGGGACGAGGGGGGGGGGGGGGAGGTGGGCGGGGAGGTGGGCGAGGAGGCGGGCTCGCCTATCACCCCCCTTCCCCGGCCCTGGGCGAGGAGGCGGGCCGGGGAAGGGGGGTGATAGGCGAGCCCCGATGGGGCCGGCGCGGGCCAGCGACCCTCGCCGCGGGGGGCCATGGGCTCCGCCCGTGGAGCCCATGGCTCCACGACCACGGGGTGCTCTTGGCACCGCTCGGGCGTGCGCGCTCTCGGCGGGGGCCATCGAGCAGCTGTTTTTTCGGGTCGTCCTGCGGGGAAAAAACGGCGCGCACGAAGCCGACGAAGGCGCGGGCAGTGGACGTCCGAGCGATGGCGCGGGCAGAGGACGGCAGCGCGGCGAGGACCATCGATCAGCTTTGTTCGGGTCGTCCTGCGGGGAAAAAACTGCGCGCACGAAGCCGACGGGGGCACGGGCAGTGGACGTCCGAGCGATGGCGCGGGCAGAGGACGGCAGCGCCTCGCATGACGAGCTGACAGGCCGGCGGGCCACGCGGGGAGGTCCAGGCCCTCCGCCTTCCGGCGGCGAGCGAGGGGAGGAAGTGAGAAGGAGAAGGCCTTCTCAGAAGGGGGGTGTTCTCGGACGCGCTCCAGCCTTCTGAGAGGTTTTCCGTGTCTTCGCGGAAAGTTGGGAATAGTTCTTAGAAGGCCGGGGGATTTCCGGGCCTTTGAGGAGGCCCGTCCCTTCTCACTCCCCCCTCGTGCTCGCCGCCGAACCTTGCCGAAGCCACGCATCCCGCGGTCGGTGAATGGATCGATGACGCAGTTCACGAGCAGCCCACCGACACAGTCCACGGGTGCCTCCAAAACTGACCCACGCCCACCGCGCGGACGTGCACCACGACGACCTCTCAGGATGCGTCGAGCGTCCTGGAGCTCCGTTTTGTATCCTTCTCCGCACTGCTCGAGCCGACGAGCTCCTGGCCTTAGATCTGCCGTTGCACAACCCTCTCAAGGGTGACGGGGATGAGGACGATCGGGGACAAGAACGAGTAGCTTTCGTTCATCATCTAGAGGAGGGGACTTCGCGAGAAGTGGGGCGCGGTGTGAGGGGGGATGCGGGTGATAGAGGTGAGGAGAGGGAGAGGATGATGGGGGATGAGGGAGAATATATGTTGCTGCTGGTGACGAACATGCTGATGGTGATGATGGCGACGCTGGTGATGATAGTGATGGCGCTGCTGCTGCTGCTGATTATGATGCTGCTGCTGATGATGATTGTGGAGGCTGCTGCTGATGATGGTGACGAGTTTGAAGGCGATGATGCCAACTCAATGCTGATGCTGCTAGCGATGCTGACGCTGATGCCGATGCTGGTGCCGATTATGATGGTATACGGAGGGTGACGATCATATCTTTGGTAACGATGGTTGCGATAAGGTTCATGCCGCTTGCGATGACGATGCTGGCGACGATGTGGATGCTGATGCTGATGCCGCTGCTTCGGCTGATGATGCTGCTGCCGAGGGTGCTCCTGCTGTTGCCGATGATGCTGCTGCTGCTGATGAGGATGATGATGATGATGGTGGTGATGCTGATGATGATGATGATGATGTTGATCATGATACTGATGATGCAGATGATGACGGTTCTGGTTCATGGTGCTGATGATACTGCTGATGGTGGTGATGGTGATGATGGTGCTGATGATACTGATGCTGACGGTACTGTTCTTTATGATGATGATGGTGTTTGTTGTGATGATGGTGATGATGCTGCTGGTGATGATGATGATCATGATGATGCTGATGCCGTTGATGATGCTGTTGCTGCTGCTGTTGCTGATTATGTTGATGATGATGATGATGATGCTGATGCTGATAACGGTTATCATACAAAATATGTTGTTGCTGTTGCTGCTGATGATGACAATGATGCTGCTCCTGATGATGATGTTGATGATGCTTATGCTGATTATGTTTTTTGCCGAACGCTAGATCCAAGAGCGGATATGATCGTTTATGCCGGACCAGAAGAAGTACGGCTCGTCGCAGAGAGCTTGACAGCTTGACCCTCGAAGGCTGCGCGGGGGCGCGTGGTGCCTGCAGGGTGCGGCAGGCCAGCAGCAGTGCCTGCGGGCATGAACGAGTGAGATGAGCAAGGATGCTGGCACTCCAGATGCTGCCAGCGAATGGGCGGTGGCTGGAGCAAGTCGCAGACATCGGATTCGCACGCACGGCGCGCCCGGGGCGCGGGCAGAGGGCACGAGGGGAGGACGAGGGGCGAGAACCTCGTCTGGCATGCCGGCCACAGTCAGGGATCCGTCGTGGAGAGAAGCCTTGGCTCGGGCATCACACCGGTGGTACGGCTCGGCTCCGTGGGACCGGGTGCCGACGCGTTGCTCAACTCTGTCGTGGTGGACACCGTGGAACAGTACGGCCCCATTGAAATGCTCGTCTCCGTAGTGCGAGACATCGACTTGGTGCTCGGTTCCTTCGTGGTGGACGCCTTGGAACTGCTCGACTCCGTAGAACTAACTGGTTGCCGACGGGGGGCTCGACTTCGTCGTAGTGGACGCCGTGGTACTGCTCGACGCGTGAACCGGGATACCAGCGTGCCCGAGTCCTTCGTGGTAGACACCGTAGTACTGCTCGGCTCCGCAGAGCTGGATGCTTCCACAGTGGGATTGCTCGACTCCGTGGAACTTGTTGCCCGACTCAGTTGATCTGGATACCGACCGAGTGCGTTCGACTCCGCCGTAGTAGCCGTGGTACTGCTCGACGCCGTAGAACTGATCGACGCCGTCGTGGTAGACGCCGTGGTGCTGCTCGAAGCCTTAGGGAACTGGAGACAGATGTGTTGCTCAACTCCGTCGTGGAGGACCCCGTGGTACTGCTCGACTCCGTTGAACAGGATACCGGCTTGGTGCTCGACTCTATCGCGGTGGACACCGTGGTTCCGCCATTCTCCGTAGAATTGGCTGCCGACTTGAAGCTCGACGCCGCCGGGGTAGACACCGTGATACTGCTCGACACCGTGGAACTGATGAGCTCCGTGGTGCTGGATACCAACATGGTGCTCGTTTCCGTCGTAGTGGACTTCGTGGTCCTGATCACTTCCGTAGGACTTGATACCAACGGGGTGCTCGACTTCCTCGTGGTGGACACCGTGGTACTCCACGACTCCGTGAACATGGAATCCGATATGGTGCTTGACTCCGTCGCGGGGAACACCGTGGGTCTGCTCGTCTTCTTGGAACTGGCGAACTACCATGATGGTGCAGTAGCTGTGGTTCTGGCCCTTCTGCATTTTGTCGTCGTGTGCAATGGCGCTGGTCAGCTCGTTGCCGAAGTTCGAGGTGTGGTAGCGCATCAGAACCGCGGCTTTTGTACGATTGGTCGGGTCGTCGTGGGCGCCCAGCTTCATGTGGATTCGCTCCTCGCTGCGCTCGCCTGCGGCCTCCGCTGGAGCATGCTCTGCTTCTCAGGGCCTGTGACTCCAATCCCCCGCGCGGCGCCGCCATGGCATGAGTTCTCTGCCCGAGAGCCTGGGGACGGATTGGGCGCGTCCAGGAGACTGCTGCGCCACGAAGACCTGAGCTCGCGGCGGCCGTACGGCTATGACCGTGATTACGAAGATGCTGCTGCTGATGCTGATGCTGAAGACGATGATGTCGATGCTTATGGTTGTGGTTCTGATATTGATGATGCGGGAAACAGATGAGGGAGGATGGAGAGGAGCGGCTGGGGATTCGGGCGAGGATGGGGAGGGATGGTGAGAATGATGGAAACGATGATGATGAAGATAATTATTCTGCTGCTGATGAGGATGCTGCTGATGGTGACGATCACGATGATGATGCTGCTGATGATGTTGCTGATGCTGCTGATGAGGTTGCTGATGATGGTGATGATGCTGGTGCTGATGATGGCGCTGATGATTATTATGATGATGCTGATGCTGATGGTGAATATGGTGATGCTGATGGCGATGCCGATGATAACGATGCTGATGCTGATGCTGATGCTGATGCTGCTGCTAATGCTGCTGCTGCTGATGTGGTTGTTGATGATGATGACGATGATTCTGCTGATGAGGATGCTGCTGATGAATCTGAACATGATGCTGATGGTGATGATGATGCTGACGATGACGATACATATGATGCTGATTCTGGCGATGATGCTGATGAAGATGATGATGCTGATGCGGATGATGATGCTGCTGCTGATGATGACGCTGACGATGGTGATGCTGCTGATTGGAGGATGTTGATGATGACGAAGATGATGCTGATGCTGGCGATGGTGCTGATGATGCTGATGATGCCGCTGATGATGATGCTGCTGCCGATGACGATGCTGGTGATGACGCTGATGATGCTGATGATGCTGATGATGCTGATGATGATGCGGATCATAATGATGTTGATGATGCTGCTGATGCTGCTGATGACGATGCTGATAACGCAGACAATGCTGATGATGGCGATGCTTATGCTGATGATGGTGATGGTGAGGCTAGTGCTGATGATGTTGAGGCTAATGATGATTCTGATGATGGTCATGCCGACGCTCATGCTGAGGCTGCTGCTGCTGATGATGCTGATGCTGAGGATGATGCTGATGCTGCCTATGATCATGCTGAGGATGCTGTTGATGATGCTGATGCTGCTGATGACGATACTGATGATGAGGCTGACGATGATGATTATGTATCTGATGATGATGCTGTTGATGATGATACTTATGATGCTGCTGATGTTGATGATGAGTGCGATCATGAGGATGGAGGAAAAATTCGGAGGAGGAGGAGGAGGAGGAGGAGGAGGTGGAGCAGGCGGGGGCATGAGGAGCAGGGAAGACGAGGGGTGATGAGCATTGGGAGGACGGAGGAGGCGGGACGGCCAAGTGAGTTCGGCCGAGGGTGCTCACGGCACGGTCGAGCAGGGCTCGCGGGATGCGCACCGCAAGAGCGCAGGATCTGCCCGGCGCGGACGCGGGCGTGCTGCGCGTCCTCGTCTTCCTGGAGGACGGCACGCGGCCCGCCGACGACAGCCCCGTCGTCGTCGTCGTCGGCGGCGGCGTCGTCGTCGTCGTCGTCGTCGGCGGCGGCGGCGTCGGCGGCGTCGTCGGCGTCGTCGTCTTTGTCGTCGTCGTCAGCGTTATCGTCGTCGTCGTTTGGCGTGTTCGCCCTCCCTGTCTTCTTCGCTGTCGGCGTCGTTGCTGTCGTGTTTTTCGTCGTTCATGTCATCGTCTACGGAGGTCGTCGTCATGGCTGTCGCCGTCGTCAACGTTTTCTACGGCGCCCTTGCCGTTTTGGTCGCCTTTGTCCCCTTTGACGTCTTCTACGGTGTCGTCTACGGCGTCGTCCTCCTCGTCGTCTTTGTCGTCGCTGTCGTCGCCTTTGTCGTTCGTCTCCGTATTCGTCGTCGTCGTCATCGTCGTCGTCGTCCTTGTCGTCCTTCCTCCCCTCCTCCGCCGCTTCCCCCATGCCTCCTCCTCCTTCTCCTCCACTCCTCGACTCCTCGCGTACTGTATTTCCACTTTCCTCCTGCACCTTTTTTCTCTTCTCCCTCCATTCTCTCCTCGTCGTCTCCTTGCCTCCGGTGGTCGTTGCCCGCAGCCCTCCTCCCCTGCTCCCTCCCCCCCTCCTCCCTCCCCCCCTCCCCGCTCCAGGTCCCTCCTCCGCCCTGGCGTTGCGAGCCAGAGCGTTTCAGAGGTGCTGGTGAATCTCGAGCAGCGGTTTTCTGGGACATCTTCTGCTTCCAGAGATTCATGGATAGTCATTGCTCATTTCTAATTGTTCGAAAGGTCTTTGTTTTTTTTGGGCGAAGAGCCTTTCATTTTTAACTGTTCTGTCCTGAGCCTCTTCCTGGTCACTAGGGGGCCATGGACAATTAGAAACGAGCACAATTAGAAGTGAGCACGATTAGAAATGAACGACGTGTAGTCATTTGACCCACCCCGAGGTAGCTTGCCATGCAGTTTTCCTATGCCACTCCAGCGGGAGGTGGAAAAGGACACCGTGTATCGTTGTGTACAAGACCCTCGCGGATGCATCCTCGGGACGCGTGTGTGTGGTTTCGTTTTATTGGTTTATTTGTCTGTGGCCACACTGCGCGTCCTGGGCTGCTCTGGGTCCTTTGCGCGCGCTTCGACTCCGATTCAAAGTACCCGTCGCGGAGATCTCCATATGCGCATCCCATATTTCTGTCACGTTTCGTAGAGGAAGTCAGTCAGTGAGCATCTGGGAATGAGAGGGAGCCCGCGTAGACGACAGGCGAAACAACGACGATTACAGCGACGACTTGAGTCACGTCCTCTTCTCGGCATCTTTTAGGAGAGGCGAAGGAAGCGCACGTGGAAGAGCGGGGGGATACCGTTTGCCGCTCTCGCTGCGGCAATTCAGGCAGGCGCGCATGGCGTTCCCGCGCCCGCTCTCTGGCGTGCTACTCCCGGCGCCCGCTGGCTTCCGGGGTGCCCAAATGCCGCAATGCAGCCGAGCTCGCGGGGGCAGTAGTGGTGGGTTTGCGGCTCTTTGGTTCCCGGGGGCCCTCAGGGCGCCCGATGCTGCTGGGGGTCGTGGTCGAGGTCTTATTCGACTCCGCGTTCGTTTTGGGCATCTAGGAGAAGGGGTTCGCACCTAAAGCGCAACGTCGTTCTTACTTCTCTTTCCCTAAATTCGTTTGGGGCCAGGTCTTCAGGAAGTCCAGGCACCCTTGCGCGAAGACTAGTCCAGTTCAGGACGTTCTTAGACGTGATTTGAGAATCTTGTTGCATGGTTAACCGTCCACATTAACGACACATGGTGCAGCTCGACATGGAATTTGCGTATTTGGTGAAGCAGGGGGGGGGGTCAGAGAAGGGGTCGTGAAACGTGCCACTGAGACCGGCGAGGGGGGCCTCGTCAGGAACGTAGATGAGGTGAAGAAGGAGGTGGCGATCTGCCAGCGTGGCCTTCTCAATGGTGCAGGCGACATCGCAAGGGCCGAAGTGGGCATAGCAGCAGTGGCACGCGGAAGAAGCGCAACGCCTCCCCCCGCAAGCTCGGCGCGCTTCTTCTTTGAGAACGTCTGGGAAGAATGAACCTAGGAGGACATTCGCTGTGGCTGAAATGCTGGAAGCATTCAGTAACGCCGCGTTGAACTTGTTGTCGGAGCTTTTCGCCTTGCGCCTCATAGATCATCCGAGCGATGCCAGTGGCCGAATTCCTTGCCAGGCTCCAGGCCGCCCTCATCGCCATGTTTTGCGGCGCCTGCAAAGTGTCGGTTTGCAGGCCATTCGCCGTCCGCTCTTGCGTCTTCGAGCTCTACGGTAGTCTATGTGCACTGGTGCTCTCGGCGACCTCTGCGACCCCCCCCCCTTTTTTCCCATGTTGCCTGTAGGGAGGGCTTCCAGGCCCGCGACATGGTTGCCACTGCGCGCCTGCTGGTCGGGGGGGCAAATGGGCGGCGAGAGCGCTTATGCATGGAGGCAGGGCCGGCACTCCCACAGAGAGCGCGCGACGGCGCCCCCCCCCCCCTCCGCCCAGGCACGCGCGCGCGCCGCTCCGCCATGCAGAGTCGTGCCCGTCGAGAGACCGTTTGCTTTCTGACAGCCGCGCGGTTTGCGCGAGGTCCGAACGGGGGGTCGACCGGAGATGTTGCTGCCAGGCCCCCCCGCCTTCTCGTGCCGTGCTTGGGTCCGTGTTCTCTCTGAGCTGGGGTCAAGGCCTGCAGGGAAGGGGGAGACAAGGATGGGCCGCACGTCAGGAGGCCAAAGTGTTGCCGCGCAGTCTCGCAGCCAGAGCCCTCGGTTGTGAGGCGCTGTCTTGGGCCCAGAGGCGCCGATGCTCTTGTCGCTCTTGTCGGACGACGCTGTGCGAGAGTTCTAGGGCCGCCGCGGGAAGGAAAGGCGGGGCCATCTCTTGTGGGGAAGATGGCGCGGGGGTTTTCGGGCGACGTGGGGAGGGGAAGAAGGGGGCGGACGTGGACAGGCTGGCCGTCATCCAGTTCACAGACAAATCGGATACACACATGTATGTATGTATGTACATATGTATGTATGTACAAATCTATGTACGTAAGTGTGTATGTATGTGTGTATGTGTGTGTATGAGTGTCTGTGTGTCTGTGTGTCTGTGTGTCTGTGTGTCTGTGTGTCTGTGTGCATGCATGCATGCATGCATGCATGCATGTATGTATGTATGTATGTATGTATGTATGTATGTATGTATGTATGCATGCATGCATGCATGTATGTATGTATGTATGTATGTATGTATGTATGTATGTATGTATATTTATGCATGCATGTATGTATGCATGCATGCATGCATGCATGCATGTATGTATGTATGTATGTATGTATGTATGTATGTGTGTATGTGTGTGTAAGAGTGTATGGGTGTCTGTGTGTCTGTGTGTCAGTGTGTCTGTGTGCATGCATGCATGCATGCATGCATGCATGGATGTACGTATGTATGTCTGTATGCATACATGTATGTATGTATGTATGTATGTATGTATGTATGTATGTATGTATGTATGCATATGTATGCATGCATGTATGTATGTATGTATACATGCATACATGCATGCATGCATGCACGTGTGTATGTATATATATGTATGCATGTATGCGTGTGTATGTATGTATGTTTTGATGTATGTATGTATGCATGCATGCATGCATGCATGCATGCATGTATGTATGTGTGTATGTATGCATGTATGTATGTATGCATGCATGCATGCACGCATGCGTGCATGTATGTATATGTTATACACTTATATTTCTGGCACCGCCATGCAACATATACATCGTGACCATTCGACGCGCGGAATTCTTCTCCACGGCTACCGCGCTGGATGTTCCGACCTCTCTGGACCTTCCAGGAGGCCGTTTGAAGTATTTAGTCAGGTGAAAGGATTTCAGGATGTTGGGGCCCCAGGTGTCCGATGGCAGCGCGACGGGTGCCGTTCGCCTTGGTGTCGCTCGTGCCGGGGTGGCCCTTAGCAAAAACATATCCATTTCCTGTGCTGGCCGCGCCCTGCTCGGGCGCATAATCAAGCTCCTCGACGGGGTCGCCGGGTCAGCCGCATTCTTCTGCTTCGGCTCCTAATTGTTCGCTCGTCGACACCTTGCCCCGGTGCGCGAAAGCTGCCAACCTAAAAGACTACAATTACCTTCGCTTCTTCGTTGCTTAGTTTACGCCATCGATTCCTTGGGACGCCAAGGACATTTCTATGTCTGGCGTTGGGGAAACAGTTCTACCATTGTTACGGACAAGACTGGGCCGAGCTCGTTGTAAACCTAGAAGAGTGGAAGGTGACCTCAGTTACCTGGCTGAATTGGCGCTTTGAGGACATGGGACCGACAAAGGTCGGGACCAAGAGACGTAGATCGTGGGAAGAGGTGGGTGTACCTTTATATGGCCAGGTTTTGCAAACGAAAGTCTTCGATGCCCGACGCTTCTTTGTAACTTGCCGCGCTTTTCTGCTCTCTTTGTTCTTTCCTGGTTCTCTCCTCCACTATATCGCCCCAAATTCAAGATTACTCATTGCCGGTATGGGCCTGCAGCAACTGTAAGTGGCGAGCGATATTGATGATGTTGATGTTGATGTTCGTAGTCATGACGGTGGTGGTGGTGGTGGTGATGATAATGACGATCACGATGATGATGAGGTTGATGATGATGCCGATGCCAGTGATGATGGTGCTGATGCTTGTGCTGAAGATGATGCTGATGCTAACAATGATGATGACGGTGATGATGATCATGATGGTGATGCTGAGGATGGTGATGATGATTATGATGAGGATGGTGATGAGGATGATGATGAGGATGATGTTTACGATGAGGCCGATAATGAGGATGAGGATGCGAATGATGATGATGATGCTGCTGCTGATGATTATGATGATTGTGATGATGATGATGGCGATGGCGATGGCGATGATGATGATGCTGATGATGATGATGCTGATGATGATGATGATGATGGCTATGCTTATTATGCTGATTCTGATGATGATGATGATGATGCTGATGATGATGATTAGTATGATGATGCTGATGATGCTGATGATGATGCTGATGATGCTGATGATGATGATGATGATGATGATGATGATGATGATGATGATGATGATGATGATGATGATGATGATGACGTTGTCGTCGTCGTCGTCGCCGTCGTCGTCGTCGTCGACGTCGACGTCGTCGTCGCCTGAGGAGCTCGGGCCCGCCGCAGCAGGGGCGGCGGGCGGCGACGCGGTGGTTGGCGTACCACCGCTGCGGGGAGCGGCGGCCGCGGCGGGGGGCTCGGCCACGCGCCACAGGTCCGCAGGTCGCCCGTGTCGGGCGAGATCATCGAGAATCTAGCAGGAACCCTTCACCTCCATAGCACAACGGAGGCGTATTCTAACTTAGGTCACCGTGCGTGCATTCGGAATATTACCTCTGGCAGGTTAGGCTTGATCCATCTGCAGAAAAGGCCTCCCATCCCTAATGCTTCCGGCTTCTTAACTTAGGTCTGCCCACTAATGGTTAGGGATCCTTTAAGTGCTAATCAAGAAAGGGGGGCGTCTTCGTCGGTCCTCATTCTCGGGCGGTTCTCCAGTTTCGGGATGCTCTCCAGCAGCCGCACCTCGGTGGCAGCGTTCCGGGGATGCCCGCCCGGATCGTCTCGAACGGCGGCCGACGACTTGAGATCATAACCCGAAAGCCACACGAAGATGAGTTCCCATGTTGGACGACGGGGGGAGGGGATAGGGATAGAGGTGGGCCCGACATTTGCTGCGTTCAGCTGGTTCTGGCCCCGCCGCCGCGCGCTTTTTTGTTCAACGCGCTGGCGCCTCTCGGCGCTGGGAGGCACCGAGGAAGCCAGTTACCGCCCTGTTCCACCCCCTTTTAACTACCCCTTCTACTACTTCCGTTTTTGGTCCGGCCCGAGTCGCGTTTGACCGTGCTAACGCTTTTGTTTTTCGCGGTGACAGAGGCGCCGCCACCCCTCAGCCGAGGGCAGGCCGTAGAGGAGGAGCGCGCTTACCTGAGGATGGTGGGCAGCCATTGTGAGAGTGCTCCAGCCAGGCTAACCGTGCCAGCGTGCACTTCGATCGGATTTGATATCGAGTTCGGCCAGCCGGATACGATTCGATTCCGATGTTTCGACTAGCGTATGCGGCCCGATGCTCGGGCGTCGTTGTACATCCTGGCGTGGCCGATCCGCTTCGATTCCGACTCCGAGCTGATGCGGCCCGATTCGATGTTGACAGGCGGGAGCCGCGTTCGCGCGGGACGGTGCAGCAGAGCGGAAGGTTTTTTGTTCATATGGTTTGTTTTGGTGTGTGTGTGTGTGTGTTTTGTTGTTGCTTTTGTTGTGGTTGTTGTTGTGGTGGTGGTGGTGGTGGCGGTGGTTGTAGTTGTTGGTGGAGGGTTGCACTGGGTGCCCGTGCATCACCGCCCACTCCCACACCCACACACCCACACCCACGCCCACACCCACACTTTTGTTTCTTATTATTATATAACCCCACCTACCTCGTATTCCGGCCGATAGCAACCCGATCCGGGACCTCCCATCCGGACTGTAAAACATCAATGCAAAGTGGCCGCTTTTCTTCTCAACATCGTCATTCTTGTCGTCGACGATGTGAAAAGCGTGGCAGGAATGGGACGCGGCGCGCATCGCGCGCGGCAGTCAATCTGGGCCCGCCCATCCTTATTGTAAACAAACAATGCAAAGTCTTCGTTTTTTCCTCTCAGTATGGCCTGCCTTGTCGCCGACGGTGCGAAATATGTGGCAGCAATGGGACGCGGCGCGCATATGGGACGCGGCGCACATCGCGCGCGGCCGTCAATCCGGGGCCGCCCATCCTGGCTGTAAAAAATCAATACGAAGTCTCCGCTTTTTCCTCTCAGCATGGCCTGCCTTGTCGCCGACGGTGCGAAATATGTGGCAGTAGTGGGACGCGGCGCGCATATGGCGCGGACGTCCATGCGGGCCGCGGGCCCTCCCATCCTGACTGTAAAAAACGTTGCCGTTTTTCCTTTCAGCATGGCTTGTCTTGTCGTCGACGATGCGAAAGGCGTGACAGGAATGGAGCGCGGCGCACATCGCGCGCGGACTTTTGCGGCAACCCCAAGGCGGGAGGGGCCACCTTACTTGTCAGAAGCAATGCCATGCTGATTTTTCCCTGCCCACATAGCTGCTCTTGTCGTCCACCCCGCAGAAGTGCACGGCAAGAATTGGGCGCGGCACACCCCCCTCACTACTACTGCTACTACGACTACTACTACTACTACTACCACCACTACTACTACTACTACTACTACTACTACTACTACTACAACTATTACTACTACAACTATTACTACTACTACTACTACTACTACTACTACGACTACTACTACTACTACTACTACTTCTACTACTACTACTACTACTACTAGTACTACTACTACTACTACTACTACTACTGCTACTACTACTACTACTACGACGACTACTACTACTGCTACTACTGCTACTACTACTACTACGACTACTACTACTACCACTACTACTATACTACTACTACTACTACTACTACTACTATTACTACATCACTACTACTACTACTACTACTACTACTACTACTACGACTACTATAGTAGTAGTAGTAGTACTACTACTACTACTACTACACTACTACTACTACTACTACTACTTACTACTACTATACTACTACTACTACTACTACTACTACTAACTACTATTACTACTATCACTACTACTACTACTACTACTACTACTACTACGACTACTAGTAGTAGTAGTAGTAGTAGTAGTACTACTACTACTACGACTACTACTACTACTACTACTACCTCTACTACCTCTACTACCTCTACTACCTCTACTACCTCTACTACCTCTACCTCTACTACTACTACTACTACTACTACTACTACTACTACTACTACTACTACTACTACTACTACTACTACTACTACCACTACGCTCCAGCACCCAGTTGCGCCAGCATTGTTTCTTATGTTTTGGGAGGGCGGAGCGTGTCCGTTGTTCCTTTCAACATGGCCAGTCTTGTCGTCGACGATGCGAAATGCGTGGCGGGAATGGGACGCGGTGGACATCCCGCGCGGACCTCAATGCGGTGTCTTGGGGTATCCTCCACTCGCACTGAAATGCCCGCGCAGCCCCCAGTTGTGCCATCACTGTTTCTTATGTTGTGGGGGGGCGGGTGGGAATGGGCATGCCATGCTTGACTCGCTCGAGCTGGCTAGCTTAACCCACGCCCAGACCCACACCCACACCAATCGAGGGCCCACCGACGCCCGATTTCGGCACACCCCTCACGAGGATCGTGGCCCTGGCCCCATACGGAGCTCTTCCGGAGGTTCCAGTGGCAGGGCCCTCACACGCTTCGGGCCCAATCTTGGCACGCCCCTCGCACGGTTCGTGGCCCCACAGGGGGCTTCACCGAAGGTTTCCGGTTCATTTCGGCACACCACTCGTAAAAGGGGGTCCTTACTAAGAGTCGTAGTAGGGAGCTGCTATTATGACTCATCGTCGGAGTCTCTATTATGATGTGTCGTAGTAGGGAGCTCCTACTATGACTGACAGTGCGGGGTCGTTAAATACTATGACCCATATCATCGTTTGGGGCTGTATTCTGACTCGAGCTAGGGAGCTCCTACAATGAGTCGTAGTAGAGAGTCTCTACTATGACTCATATCAGGGGATGTCTACTTTAACTGGTAGCAGGGAGCTCTTATTCGTAATCGTAGTGGGTGTCTCTATGAGGGCTTATGGCATGGAGCTTCTATTCTGTGTCGTTGTGAGGGATCTCTATTATGACTCAGATTAAGGAATTCTCTTATATGTCGTGGAAGGGAGCCTCTACTCTGACTCCGAGTATGGAGTTCCTTCTATGAGTCATACTAAGGAGCTCCTACTGTGACGCATACTAGGGTCTCTACGATGAGTCAGGCTAGGGGGTCTGTATTATGAGTCATAGTAGGGAACTCTTACTATAGGTCCTTGTAGGGCGTCCCTGGTACGACTCATACTAGGGAGCCCCGATTCTAACTCATAGTCAAGGGCTCCCACCTTGAGTCGTAGCAGGGAGTCTTTAGTATGACCCATTCGTAGGGGTCTTCGATTCTAAGTCGTAGAAGGGGGTTTCTATTGTGAGTCATAGGAGGGCGTCCCAACTATGACTCATGGTAGTGAGTGCCTGCTGTGACTCGTAGTAGGGGGCTTCTACTACGAGTCATAGTGCGGTGCCCCTACGATGGTTCACAGAAGGGAGTCCCCACTCTGATTCATGGTAGAGAGTCACCCGTCTGAGTCGCACTAGGGTTACTATGGATCAGACCAGGGTTCTCTATGGTGACTCATAGTAGCGCTACTCTGAGTCGTAGCTGGGGTCTTTCTTGTAACTCATCGTGGGGGCGTCCTCCTATGACTCATAGTGGGGGGCTCTTAGTCTCTATTAGGGTTCATGGAAGGCAGCATCAGTTTTTCTTCGTAGCAGGGGCTCCGAACTATGAGTCATATGAGGGACTTCGTACTATGACTCATAGTAGAGGCTCCGTATTATGAACCGTAGTACGGTAGTACGGCGTCCCTACTGTGACTCATAGTACGGGGTCCTCACTATGACTCATGGTAGAGGGTCCCTACTACGACTCCTGGTACGGAGTCCCTACAGAGACTCGCTAGTATGACTCATCGTAGGGGGTCCTTACTATAACTCATAGTACGGGGTCCCTACAGAGACCCGCTACTATGACTCATCGTAGCGGGTGCCTACTTTGACTCATGGTGCAGGGTCCCTACAGGGGCTCGCTAGTATGAGTCGTAGTACGGAGTCCTTACTATGAGTCAAAGTGGGGACTCCCTAGTCTGAGTGGTAGTACGGAGTCCCTACTTTGAGTCGCACTACGAAGTCCCTAGTATGAGGCCCCGCAGGGAGTCCCTGCTACGAATCGTAGTACGGATTCCCTAGTATGAGTCGTAGCGCGAAGTCCTTAGTATGAGTCCCAGTAGGGAGTCGTCTACTATGAGTCCCAGCAGGGAGTCTCTATTATGAGTCATGGTACAAAGTTCCTAGTAAGAGTCGTAGCAGGGAGCTCGTATTATGAGTCCTAGTAGGGAGCTCCCACTTTGAGTCGTAGTAGGGAGCTCCCACTATGAGTCGTAGTAGGGAACTCCCACTATGAGTCGTAGTAGGGAGCCCGTGCTATGAGTCGTAGTAGGGAGCCCGTGCTATGAGTCGTAGTAGGGAGGTCGTACCCGAATCCTCGCC